CCTCTAAACAGTTCACTTGTTCATTGATGAAAATGAATTATTGCTGTTGGTGTTTTAACTCAACCTCTTAAACCCACCTTCACACCCATTACATACCTAAGCTGCTCTCCTCACTTTTAAAAAGCACTGAAACTTCCCTTAAGAAGCCTCCTACAAGTTTTCTCAAGCCACAGACTTTGAAAACTACTTTCAAATCATTTTCTTCCTTATGTTCTCCTAAGCAAATACAGAAGCTCTACCTACTTTCCCTCAAAATCCTAATATTTTCTTCTCCCCTAGTAAAAATAGTGTCCGTATCTTAGTGGCTCTCGCAGGGGGAGTGGCTTTCAAGGCCTCATTGCTACATAAGCAAAGCAAAAGCTTGCCCAAGTTCTTTATTGGTCTGGCCTATACCCTCTGAACTAGGCCAAACTTCTTCTCTGCTTTGTCCTTTTTCCTCTCTGTTCTATTACTCTAGTCCCAAAAATCGAAGGACAATTTGCCATTTAAATCTGAATACATCCAACACTGGCTTCAATTCTCAATTGCAAACACCACCCCTCTGAGGTGAAGGTCCAGTCAAGCCCTGAGGTGCCCAGGGATTGCCTTGGCTCTTTTACCTCATTAAAAAGGCAGGACCTGTCCCAGGGACAGCTCTCCTCCTCCAAACTTGAGAATATCCGGCATTATGTTTAATCTGAGGATCGGTCCCAGGGACAGCACTCCTCACAAACCTCGGGCATTATGCCTAATCTGGGGACCTTTCCTGGGGACAGCTCTCCTCTAAAATTGTGCATCCTCAACATCATGCCTGATTTAAAGCAATCTCAAATTGTGTAACCTCCTTCAATCTATCTGTCCTTCAAAACATAAGAACTGAAATGGCAAGTAGTCAAGGGTTTATATTCAAACTCTTTCTTTATTGTCCACTTTCACGTATCTCTCTATCTTGGAATCTGCCCTGATTCCATGTTAAAATTATCTAAAACTTTGCAAAATTGGAAGTCTGTATATGTCTGTGTACTCTCAATCTCTGGCCTAAAAGCATCTAGGATGTGCTACATCACCTCAATTCTTTATACTCCTCCATGAGTTTGATGTGCCTTCCAATTACTCTTTAAACTGTCCTTGGGAACACCCTTCACAAGGGTTTTCTGCCTCTTACCATTACAAACCTTCAAAACACCAGATTTAAGAAGTTCAACAAAATTCAACTCTAAGCCTAACTAAGCTTCACTCCAGCATACCATACCCAGCTTTGGCATCCCTACTTTAATATGGTCCTAGCTTCATCTCCGAAAACACCCAGCAGGTATCATCTAGTTTAAGTATCTGCTATAAGCTGTACATATCATATCACTCCCAGTCTTCAGGAAAAACAAGGCACATATACAGACTCACTGACTGTCAAGTTACACAAGTCTTAAGTTATCTTACTTCCTATTGCCTTAGCCTGTACCTGAACAACACTCTGTTCACCTTCCTTTCTAAATTCCTTCCCACTGATGTACAGCCAACTACTTCTGCTAAACCGTAACTTGCTCACCAAGCCCCTTCTTTTGGCATCATGCCTTGTCTCTCCCTCCTTAAACAGTTACTCTGAAAAACACATCGTTGTATACCCAGACTCTCATCTGAAGGTCTGGACCAAGCCACTAAAGTCACTTCAGAAACACCATTTTCATCAAACAGCAGGCACCCAAGCCTCTCCTACCATACTGAAGCAGGCCCTGTGCAGTCACCCTGACCACTTCCACAGCTATTAAAGTCCTGGGTGACCGCCATTAACACCACCTTTCTTAAGTCAAACATGTTCCCCTCACTAAGTAAATTTCCTGTGCTCTAAATGCCAATACCCAAGTAGAAGTCTCCAGTAACATTCTCCAAGCTAAGCAGACAATGATACAACAAGCCTCTGGAGAGCCACAAACTATGCAGGCTCCAACTTGGTTCTAAATTACCCAGGGCACCTGCACCTCATTGTTAACTGTGTGTCTCTTGACAACAACCTTTGCTAGCAACAGTACCAATCAATTTCTCTAAACCACACTCCACCAAAGTACCTCAAGCCATTCCATCAGCCCAAACTGAGTGTTCCACCACTCAAGAACACATTCCCTTCTGAAAACCAAAGCCCGATAAGAACACTAAGCCCACTTGCATCTAACACCCTCTGCAGTGAAACATGAAAACTGTATACACAATGCCAGCATAAACAAGCACACTGTAGCTAAACCAGGACAGCACTTTTAATGTAATAAGACTCTATACAGAATTCAACCACAAGCCTTCTCCCAAATTAACTCAAAAACTCATCTCTAACTTAAATTTCCCTTCTCTAAGACCAATAGTAATCATAAACATACTGTTATTAATCACTCCATGTCTCTTTAAAGTTTTACTTCACAGGATCAAGAAGATGACCACCTTAATTCTCCCCTGGCCACTAATTCCAGACTGACTCACTCCAGGTTCTGAACCCCAAGATCATCGCCCCTGTTCAGCAGGAAGTAGCCAAAAGAAAGATAAGTTGCCCTGTTTTATCACTAAAAAGAGTCTAAGATGTTAGTCTGGGCAAAGAGGCTAAAGAGAAGAATGAAGAATTCAGAACTCAAATGCTGATGGCCTTGCTATTGAAGATAAGAAAATGGCCTTGCCAGTCTAAGATAGCAGGTGGCTCATAAATCAGAGTGGAATGTCCCTCCCTAAAGACTCTGTTGATAAAAATCCTTCCCAGTAAGTTCACAGTGTAACTTCCCATTCTGCTTCTCCAGGATAAGGAACTCACCCGGGAGCTCCCCTTTCCCCCTTTTATTAAAGCTGCATTAAGCTTTCTCTCCTTCTCTCTGATTTCTTCTTTAAGTCCACTAACCTAACCTAACCTAACCTAACAAGCAGGAAGTAGTTGTTAGAAGATCTTTGCCCCTTTCCCCTTTTAAGGTGGGAATATTGTTGTGCCCACGAAATGCCCCTCAAAGAAATTCAAAAGCACATTTGAAATTTCAAGAGCGTTTATTGTTTTATTTTCCACGCGTGGAGGCTTTTTCGCCTTCCTCAGAAAGGTGGTGAAGGGGAAAAAGCCCCGAGTTTTCCCTCCCACTTGCTTTTATAGCTTTTTCTTGGGTGCCCCTGCTAAGGCAAAGAGATTGGCGGGCCAGGGGGTCAGTCATTTGGTCGGCTTTTGATGGGCTGGTTGCTTTGCCTGCCTTTACTCTTCTTGTGTCACATAGACACGAGTTAATTCCTTACTTTTTCAAGGACAGACTGGGTTTTACCTGGGGCACTCGTGTTTGCCCTAAGCCAAGAATTTTTATGGCCCGCTTCTGCCTCCAGCACTAATGGGGGTTTATAAAAAAATGGGGTTTCTGTTGCCCCTTCAAATATAAGGTTGAAACTAAAGAGATTCCATTTTGCTGACCTTTTGACCCTACCCAAGTATGTCCCTCTGTCCCAGGAAATAGTAAATCTGAATTATGTTTACATCTTAACATGGTTTTATTGACCCACCCCAGGAGACAAAACAGGGAGTGCTGAAATAATGGCCCCAGGTCCTTGAAACTGCTGTGGCTACCCCCAACTGGCCAATATGTTGTTGTTGGTTTTGTGTACCATCATGACTCATAGCTGACCCTCCAACACAGTTATTTTGCATGGGAGGAGCTTGCCGATCTCTCTTTGGCAGAGTAGCTGGTGGATTCAAACAGCTTGCCTTTTAGATTGCAGTGCAGTTTCTTGCCACTAAGCCACCCTATTTAAGAATATATATAGTGGAATGCAGTGTTTTCCTTGCTCTGTTCTGATGACTGCCTCTTGGTCCAAGTATAAGGTTTCACATAAGCAAAATCAAATGTTACAGGATTCCCATTTTTCTCAGAGTTAGCCACAGTTTGTTGTGATCCACACAATCAAATGTTTTTGTATAGTCAATGAAACACAGATAGACATTCCTCTGGTACGCTGCTTTCAGCAAAGAGCCATCTAACTGTAGCTACAATATCCCTAGTACTATGGCCTCTTCTAAACCCAGCCTGCACTCTGGCAGTTCTCTGCTGATATGTTGTCCCAGTTGTTTTTTGATCGTTTTCAAGAATCTTGCTTGCATGTGATATCAATGATATTGTTCCATAATTTCCACACTCTGTCAGGTCACCTTTCTTTGGAAGGGGAACAAATATAGATCTCTTCCAGTCAGTTGCCCAGGTGGTTGTCCTACAGATTTCTTGGCACAACTTGAACACATACATCCAGAGCAGCATCTGTTTGTTGAAATATGTAAATTCCTGGGGCCTTAATTTTTTGCCAATTTCTTCAGAGCAGTTTGAACTTCTTTCATCGCCACAGTCTCTTGCTCATATGTTATTTCATTAAATTCTTCTGTGTCAGCTAATCCTTTTGGTAGAGCAACTCTTGTAGTCCTTCCATTTTCTTTTAATGCTTCCTGGATCATTCAATATTCTGCCCAAAGCCTCCTTAAGCATTGCAACTCAAGGCTTGAATTTGTACTCCAATTCCTTCAGTTTAAGAAATGCTGGGGGGCGGGGTGCTGGGCAGGGAGAAAAGTGCAACAATGAATGAATGGAAATCCAAAATCTCTGTAAATGTTCATTAAAATTAATTAAATAAAATTTAAAAAAAAAGAAATGCAACAACCTAAATAAAAAAAAAAAAAAAAGAAATGCTGAGTGAGTCTGGCCCCTTTGATTTTCTGACTCCAGCTCTTTGCACATTTGATTATAATACTGTTTTGTCTTCTGTACCACCCTTTGAAATCTTCTGTTCAGCTCCTTAATTTTTGTATTTCTTCCCTTTGCTTTGGCTTGTTGGTGCTCTAGAACAATATTCAGAGTCTCTTCTGACATCCATTTTGGTCTTTTCTTCCTCTTCTGTCTTTGTAATGATCTTTTGCTTTCTTCATGGATGATATTCTTGATATCCTCCCACAGCTCATCTGGTCTTCACTTGTTGGTGTTCAAGGCCTCAAATCTGTTTCTGAGACAATTTTCAAATTCAAGTGTGATAGACTCAGGTCAAATTTTGGCTCCTGTGGATTTGATTTAAAAATCGGGAACGGTGTACACCAGAGATGTGTCCTATCTCCATACCTTTTCAATCTATATACAGAAGAGATCATCCAGGAGGCTGGGCTCTATGAGGAGGAATAGGCATCAGGATTGGAGGAAGACTCATCAATAAACTGAATTATGAAGATAATTCAACCTTGTTTGCTGAAACTGACGTGGACCTGAAGCACTTACTGCCGAGGGTCAAGGACTGAAGCCTTCAATATGGATTGAAGATCAACATTAAGAAAACAAAGATTCTCACCAATAGGCCAATTGGCAACATCATGATGGATGGTGAAGAGATTGAGATTGTAAACAGCTTTAGTTTGTTTGACTCCACAACCAACACTCTTGGTACCAGCAGCCAGGAAATCAAAAGACGGATTGCATTGGGGAAGTCTGCTGTCTTAAGAGACATCTCCAGAATACTGAAGAGCAATGATATCTGTAGATTAGGGTGCACCTGATACAGGCCATGGTCTTAGCAATTACATGCTATGCACCAGAAAACTAGACAATGACTAGGGATGATAGAAGGAGAATTGATGTCTTTGAGGTGTGGTGCTAGAGTATTGAATATACAGTAGACTGTTAAAAGGACAGATTTGCTCCTTGGAGGCAAGGATTCTGAAGCTTCTTCTGACATACACTGGGCATGTTGCAAGGAGGGACCAGTCCTTGGAGAGGGCCATTATATTTGGGAGGGTGGAGGAACAGCACAGGGAAGACCCTTGATGAGATGGGTTGACTCAGTGACTTGAGCAATGGGGGTAGGATAGAGCAGGGTTCAGAGCTGTTGCACATAGGGTCGCTATGAGTTGCAGGAACTTGATGGCACATAACAACATCATGATGGAATGAAGCTCTGTTAAGGATGTTAAGCCAGTATTTGGAAATGAATGTGTACTCAGCTGTTCATGATCCCTGACGTTAAATGCTTTATTTTAAAGTATTTAAATGGAAAAAGGGAGGGAACTCTGGTGGCCTAATGGTAAGGAACATCACTGCCAAATCACAAAATTCTAATCCATCAGCTGCTCTGCAGGAGAAAGACAAGCAGTCTCTTCCTGTGATATTTATTGCCTCTGAAAAACCCACCGCAGGGTGAAAAACCCACCGCAGGGTCAGCTGTGGGTTGGTTCCAGCTCTACAATACATAACAACAACAATGGAAAAAGATGGTCTTTACTTGTAAACACACACACACACACACACACACACACACACACATCAAATTATTATACTGGGGAAAAAATCTGCCTTTTTGAAATATTAAAGAGGTTAAGCCATAGTATTCTCCATCATCTTGTATGGATGTAAAAACTGGACAACAAATAAGGAAACCCAAAAGAAAAAATAATGCCTTTAAATTATGGTGCTGGCAAAGAATATTGACAAACTTCCAGAACAGACAGACCTGACTTAGCAGAAGTGCAGGGAAGACATGTTTTATCCTGTATACACCGGGCTGCTACGACCTGGAACCTAATAGAACGTCCTCAGCAACCACCAACAATATTTACAAAACCATTGTTGTAGAACAGGTAATTTTCATAACAATACTTCAAAGCTTAATAAATAACTAAAAGTCTAAGGATCTTCACTGTCTTTGCAATGGAAAAATAAAATACTTGCAACTTAGAAAGTAGTATTGAAGAAAACGTTAGGACTCAATAATCACGTAAGCTCTTTTTTTAAAAAAACGTAAGCACTTTAAAAGGTTACATTTTGGTCTCGTTTAGAATTACTTACTGTTTAGAAACTCTTTACTGTTGTAAAAGCGAAATCAATATTCCCGGCCTTAAGTTTTCCTTCACTTACAGGTGTTTTATCTACCGGAACTAATTGGCACTTCATGTAGGAGGGAAACAGGAAACCCCATCCGGAAGAGCAAAAAGCCAAACGAAGGTGGAAACCTCTAATGTGCAAACTAGTACAGTAAGCACTATACTGGGAAAATAAAATAGCTTTGTCAGAGTTCAGAGATCTAAAGTCAGGTAATTTAATTTTGGATCTTTAAAAAATACAGTGTCAGGCTCTGCATAAACATTACCTATAGAACAAGCTGGGAGCTCTGGTGGTAAGAAGCTGCGCTGCAATTCCAAAGGCACATGGCTTGAATCCACCAGCTGATCCGCAGGAGGCGAATGAGCAATCCCCTCCCACGTGTATAACTGCTTCTGAAAACCTGCTGGAGGATTCAAGCCTCTCAGAGGCTTTGTGGGAGGAAAGTGCGCTTAAGACACCTATCTAAAGGTTCTTCCTCTTCAGAGCCACCCATATTTTCACACTGGATGTAGACCAGGACTCATAGAGATCTTATAAACAATAGATGGAAACCTTGCCCTATCCTGCACCATCTCCACTATGCTCAAGCCTATTGCTGCAGTCACTAATGTAAATCAATCTATTTAGGGTCCTCTTCTCTTTCACTGACCCTACGTTCCTTCCTGACAGGATGTCCAAAGCATGTGAAATGAAGTTTCACCATCCTTGGCTCTAAATTGGGAGTTTAAGTGGACTGGTAGTTAAGGAGTGGAGCTGCCAGCCCAGAGTCAGGTGGTTCAAATCCACCAGTTGCTCCGAGGGACAAAGATGGGTCATGTCCTCCCAGATGATTGGGCTCTGAAAAGCCCTGGAGGTATGGCTAGGAATCTGACTCAATAGAAAAGAGTTGTTGTTGTGAGTTACTGCCTTTGATTAACATGTTGGTTACTTTTCTTCCAGAATATATGTTGATGTTGTTGTGGCTTTGAGTTGGCTGTTCGGCTTGCACTCTGGCTTGTAGACTGTTCAGATTGCCAAACTTTCACAATGATGAGAGGGGTAACGTGTGAAAAAGATGGAATGCATGCTAGTAGTCATTTACAACACGCTACAAACTGCTCCTACAAAACCTACTCGGGATATAAAAATAACACAGACAAAAAAGAACCTTGCATAGTAACCATTGGAATGTGAATCAGGTGTTGAGTTAAATTCTCCCACTCCACGTAATTCAAACTATTTTAACCAGACAAAAAAATGCATGAGGGCAAGAGACATTGAGGACTCCTGAAGTGTGTCAGATCCTGCTAGATGCGGGGGAGGGAAGTGAAGGTACAGGCATTTCCTTTAAAAAATTACAAATCTTTTTTTGGCTCCTGTTTAAAAAGAATATAAATCTTGTTTCTAACAGAATGTCTTCCTGTTTGTCTAGTCCAGACAGTATAAACTGGAATTGGTTTATTTGAGGAAGGAAATAAATATGCAGCAATTGTCTCTTTATGTGTAGACTATATGCAACAAAACCCAGTTGCTATAGAGTTAAAGGGAATAGATGAAATTAAGAGTAGGTTAACTTGTCTGTAACTGATGCTTCAGATCTTCCTCAATTCAAGTCTACAGTTGAAAGTGCGACCAACTCACAAAAAAGAAAGATTTTTTAAAAAATTTAAACAGGTGAAACTTTCTACATAATTTCCTGACGTATAATTAAATTATTTGCTAACCAGATTTATTCTAATAGCCATTAAGGAAGTGCAACCAGACTCCTGTTATTTAAGTGAACTTCATCTCATTGTTCTGATAATACTGTAAATTAGCCAATAAAAGCACAGCACTGAGTTCTTATTTGCATACAGGCTATAGAGGTAGCCTCACAGTGAGCTCTGGTGGCCTAGTGGCAAGAAGCTGTGCTGTGATTCCAAAGGCATGCGGTTCGAATCCACCAGATGTTCTGATCGCCTCCTGTGCCAGTCGGATCCAATTCAATGGTACACAACAAGAAAAGGATGGGGAGGGGAAGTAGCCTAGCAGCAACCCCTCTTCATACACTTTGATTCGAGGTCATCTCTAGGAAAAAGTCTATAGGGTGGGAGGCACTGAAGCTTTGCAGCTACTGTACTACCCTGCCCTTGTCCTGCTGCACCTGGGTGATCAGCCTGATGAACATACAACATGTATATTGTGTCATGGCTCTTGTAGGCCTTTCTTAGAGCACTGAGCTCTGTAACAGCCCTGGGAGCCTGGGGTCCATCGTGGCATGGTGCTGTCCCTATAACCAGGAAATTTTCAACTGGTTGCTGACCAATCCTAGCTCCACCAGCTTGCTGATGGCAAATTCTACCACTGCAGTGCTGCCTTCTTCCTGGAAAGCATCGGGTTGAGAAGCTCACTATACTTTTGAAAAATCCTCTGATTTTGGAGCTGTTGACTCTGCATTTTCATTTTGGCTTCCCTTGACTTCAGTATTTTCTGCCTTTCCTCTCTACTTCTGTTCACATTCCTGGGGTATGTGCTCCTGGATCAGCATATGTTCTTCCTCTAGTTACTAGCAAACCTCTTTTCATAAGCATTGACCTGTCCTGATGTCCCGATTCTCTGGCCCTTCATTCCTGTGGGCCTAGGCCTGGTCCTCCTAGGTCTCCAGGTCAAGCTTGACTCTCCTCCTCATCAAGTCTCTTAGAGCCTCTCTGCTACTCATTTCTTGACTTTCCCAACCTTCTCATGTGCAGTCATAGTGGGTCAGTACATCCAAAGTCTGAGAAAGCTGTTGGAAGGTTTCAGCTATTCCTGATTTTCCAGCTTTTTTGCCAAAATGACAGGAGAGTGCCTTCTTCCTGAGTGCTTTCACTCTTCCCAATCCCTAGGAGGGCATACAAACCCATCCTCTAAGAGCTTGATCACCACATTTCTTTACCTTATCTCAGTACTTCTAGGAATTCATTCAACGTGTTTCATTCTTTTTTGCAAAAATACCAAATCAAGCAGAATGTGCTCTAGCTGCCCAAAAAAAGGACCAAGAGCTATAAAGAAAAAGTGTTGTCTTACCTTGGATTTTCTGGAAGAACAAAATCAATGAAATCTATTCCAAAGAAATGGTTTAGGCAGTTTCTATAGCAAAGAAATGGCTCAGGCAGTTGTGGAGGCTGGCAAGTCCTGAGTTAATGGGTCAGATATCAATCTGGAGGCTTTTCCTGAAAACCTAAATGGGGCAAACCTCAAATTGAATTGTAGGCCACTGGCTTATAGAGCTGGAAAATCTCCAAATCCTTAGTCCAAAGGGCAGGCTCACATCCCAAGAACCAGTGGCCAGAAGATGATCCAGTGTGGGATCCAGAGAGGGTGAATCTTGCCAGGATACCCATCTACCTTGGATACAGGCCATACCACCAAGGAAACTCCTTTTTCAACGGATAGGCTGCTTGTCTCAGAGCCAGCTTTGAAGGATGATTGTGTTGTATCTGCAAAACCATTGAGAACAGTGGCCAAGCCAAGTTGACACATAGCCTTAACTATCACAGATGGTATCTTCATTTCTTATGCTCTATAACAGAAATATTACAAATGGGTGCCTTTAACAAAGAGAAACTTATTTTCTTGTAACTTAGGAGGTTATTGTTAGGTGCATAGATTTGATTCAGGCTCTGAGTGATCCTATGTACAAAAGGGCAAAACACTGATCCTGCACCAGCCTCACAATTTTTGCCCTTTAAACTATTGTTCTCATCACTCTGTCAGCTCATCATCATGAGGGTTTTTCTCTTGTTTGATGCCCCTCTCTTGTTATTCTTAGGCCATTGAGTCAAGTACAACCCATAGTGACCCTGTGAACAATAGGTCTGAACTCTATCCTATCCTATCCCATTCTCACACTTCCTGACACATTGGAGCCCATGGCTGTAGTCACCATGTCAATCCACCTGGTTGAGGGTCTCTCTTTCACTGCCCCTCCACCTTCCCAAGCATGATGTCCGTCTCCAAGGAATAGCTTCTAGCAACATGCCCAAAGTATGTGAGATGAAGCTTTATCATCTTTGCCTTCAAGGAGCATTCTGGCTGCACCTTCTCCAAGACATATATGTTTGTTCTTCTGATATTCCATGGGATATTCATCACTCTTC